TTTGCGGAACTGGGGATTGAAATTAGGCCCTTGTGCTTGCCAGGCAAACGCTTATTCTATTGAGCTATCTCCCTGGCCCCCTCTACAAGTTATTTCTATCTTCACCATTACTGCTTTGGTGTATGATATTCTTCTAACTGTAGCAGATATATTAGGGCTCTGTGGTTATGTGTGCCTCCACATACTACCCAAGGTCCTTGAAGTTGTGTGGCATTCTCTCAATTAAAAAAGAAAAACTAAAGCAAAACAAAACAAAAAACCCCAAATACAACAGAACCAAAAAAACCACAGACCAATCTTAAAAATTTGTACAATATTTTCGGTGTTGGGTATGCCATTTTTCAAAAGATGCTGTTTTAAATCTCTTGCTGCTCTCGACTTTAACGCCATCTTCTTAGGAACCTCTGCGCCATGAGAGCCAAGTGGAGGAAGAAGCGAATGCGCAGGCTGAAGCGTAAAAGAAGAAAGATGAGACAGAGGTCCAAGTAAAATAGCTTGTACACCCATGGAGGCCAAAAGAACAGAAAGAATGCTGGAGGCTGACAACGCTCGTCCAAGTTTTGGGCTGCGTGCTGGATTAGAACTTCATTGCCATCTGATCGCCAACACCACCTCAAAGAGATCCACCTGGCTCCAACTAAGCAGTCTCCTGGTTTTTTTTGCCCCAGACCTGTGGCATTCTGGACTACTACTATTCTCTCTTTTGGCTGAGTGTAAAGTGTGTACAATAAATCATCTCTTCTGTGTTAGTTGAAGAATAAAAAAAAAAATCTCTTGCTATTAAAATCATAGGCAATATATATTACCATACATATTTAATGTTTAACTTTAGCTTTGTAAATTTGTTATTTTACTTGCTGCAAAATTATTCCAAAGTACATTTTGTAAAATGGAAGTTAATTATAGGATTAATAGTTACACAACAGATCAGTAAATGTTTATGATCACCTAACATTCAAGACTTTCTGTAATAAGGATTGCACCCAAGAGTCTTTGCCTTGAGCTACATATCTATTATCTTGAGATAGTCTGCCTAAGTTGCTAAGTTGTCCAGGTTTGACTCAAACTTGCCATCTCCCTCCCTTGGCTTCTCTGTGCTGGTATTACAGGCCCACACCACACCACCATGCTGTAGGGACAAATGAAGCACAAGATGGCCACAATATATGATTCAGGCTATGATTTCCGGTGGCCATTAAATCTTAAGTCAACAAGATTTGTGTGGAGGCACACCTGTCTGTCTCAGTGTAAATAATTGATACGACCAAGGTTGTTATTGGCATTTTGCCACTATTGTGCAGATCCCTATACAGCATATAGCTGCACTAGCAGGCAGCCTAGGGGCCTAACGACTGTCACATAAGTCCACCACTAAGATAAAGGCATTTTCAGGCTTTTCAAGACTGTCTCCTTTTCTGGCTGCCCAAATCTCAAATGAACCTCCCCATCTGAACTGGTGACAAGGCACACAGCTGGCTGTTATTTTCATTTTCTGTAAAATAAGGTTTATTGTCATCTCTTTAATAATTTTTAATTTCCCTCCACAGAACTTCAGCTCTGCTTCCTTTCTCTGGAGGCCAGAATCACAGGCAGCATTCTGATGAGAATTCAGTTTGGGAGTGTTGTACTTTTACTAAATTCTTTCCAATGTTCAGCATTTTGTTGGCTGCCACTCCATTTGCATGACACCTTCATTAATATTTTTATAGGCGCTGAAATCATGTGGCTTTTTTTTTCACTCAAATTGCTTTGTGATATGAAAAAGGATGGAAAAATAACACAAGGAATTCGTGAAGTAGTCTCTTCATTACGCTGCGCTCATTACACGGCTGCCATTTATGGGAACCTTCACCTGCTTCATGAATCAGTATTCAGGGCTATTGGAATCTTCTTCACTTTACAGATGATTATATACTGTCATGGTGTTTCCTGGATCTGAATCCCCTGCTCTTCACAGGTAATCAAATAATCAGTTTTCTTCAAAACCATTTCTTTAAAATATCTGGCTCTTTTGGAATAGAAACCTTTCTCCCTTAGCATCTCTTCAGGAAATCACAAACTCACCGTTCTACTATCAATTCACAAGGGCTTCTGAAACAAACATACAGTAATGCGGCAGGGGGGAAACTAATGAATGCACTTGACTGTTTCACAACCACAAAAATCCCACCATTTTAACCGGTGTAAAACAGCCCAGGTGTACCAAGTGCTCACATCAGAGGGCGGGGCCAGCCACAAGCTCTCTGAACTTTTTATCTTGTTTATATCTCTTGAGATTCCTCCTCAGAGCGAGATGGCACGTCCCCACATCCGTTCTACTAGGTCTCTCTTAAAACTGACTTTGGCTTCTCGAGCACTGTCTTAGCGTCTTCCTCCAGGATCTTCCACAATTGTCTTTATTTTTCTGGTCGCGCAGGTTGGGCAGGCAGCTGGGGTGAGGGAGCTCCCCAGTTGCCTGCCCTTGTTACCACCTCAGGTCGGGTGCTCCCGAAACACTTCCACCTCTTAGACGGTCTTACTTAACAAGGGCCAGCTCCTCCTTGTGGTTTCTTGCTTTCTTCCAGGGCAGTTGGTTTGTGTTCCCAGGCCCTCGAGTATCGAGGCCTCGACTCCGGTCCTCAGACTTCCCGCGACCCTCTCTGACCTGGACATTCCGGACGCAGCGGCCGCACCCTCCTCCCCAAACACCACACCCGCAAACCGTAGCGCTCAAGCTTTGCAGCACGCCCGGAACTGGCCCTGGACGGCGCCCGAGGTTCGCGCATGCGGACTCTGCGCCCGCAGCTTACACTCCCCCGCCGCCTCCCTCCAGGCGGCGCGGCGGTTTGGAGCTCGCTGACAGCTCCACCATCTATGGACGCAGCCTCGTCTCGTGCTTCCACGTTATCCTATCAGAGGAGGGGCGGGGCGGCGGCCTTCGAAGCCAATCAGCGCCAACCACGACCCAGGCGAGCCCGACCGCGCCGCGGCCAGGAGGAAGACGATTGGTCCGCGTGGCGCTCGGGGCGTAACGTCTCTGGGGCCCCGCCCACCGCTGCCTTCCTCCGCTGGCGCCCGCCGCCGCTCAGGCCTGGGAGAGGACCGCAGGCGGGCGAAGCTGTTCTGGGCCCCCGCGCGCGCTGCTGGGCCGCGCACCTTCCTCCTCACATCCGCTCTCGGACATGGTGGCCCCCGGCTCCGTGACCAGCCGGCTGGGTACGGTGTTCCCCTTCCTGCTGGTCCTGGTGGACCTGCAGTACGAAGGTGAGTCCCCTGCCCCGCGGGGGAGCGGGTCCTGGGTCGGGGTCTCCCGCGCGTCCCCGGGGCTCCGGGCGCGAGGCTCGAGGCGGCTCGCGCGGGCTGAACCGGGGAGCACGCGTCGCGGCCTGGGCCTGAGCCGGGCTTGGGCGGGGGCCGGCTGCCGGTTCCGGGTTGGTCTGGGGCAGAGCGAGGACGCCGGCTGCGCCCGTCCTAACTTCGGCCGTCCCGGCACGCGGGCCCAGCTCGCAGGGGCTGTCACTCGGCGCCTGGGGACTCCGGTGGCCCCCGGTGCTGGGAGGAGGCGGTGGCCAAGATGGGAGTCGCCTTGGGCTTGCGTTTCCAGGTGGCGGAGGCCGGGCCGGCGAAGGGGACAGTGTGCATTGCATAGAAAGTAGTGGCCGTCACGTTTTGGTGCTCTGTGACGTGCGTGGAAGTTTTAGGTGGATGCATCCAGAGTCGGCGTGGGGATGGGAGATCCAGAGGACAGGGCACCAAGTTGGTGCTTTTGCAACTCCCAGCGTGGTGTCAACTCAGTTTACGGCTGGCTGCGCTTTTGAAAGTTCCTTGAAAAAAACAGGTCTCTTTACAAAAGACTGGGATGCTTAAATTTCACTGCCCCGGACTGGAATGTTGGCGGCTGCGACAGCCTGGAGAAAATAGGGGACTGACCCATCTTGGGTGTCAGCGGGGAGGAGGGAGAATTAAAGCCGAAAGTGCCAGTTTGGCGAATGTCCCCAGTTTACAGTGCTGAATAGTCGAATGTAGCGGCACATCTGTCACATGCACTAATTAATTTTCATCTCTACGAAAGGGAGTAGTTGAGGTCAGATTAAACATTTGGGTATTTACTTCCGTTCAGAGAGCGGGAGGAACTGAACTTGGGAATTGTGTGTGGTAAATCCTCTCAAAATTGTCTTTTTAAAATCTATTTTGGTAGGTAATACTCTTCGGCTCTTAGGTTTCTTTAAAGGCAGTGGTGTTTTGTTTCTTGGTGACCACAGATTTTTTATTTTTAACTGGAAGACTGACTATGTAGTGTGACAATATTGGGACAAAGAATTTGACAGTGAGGTTGCCCTGGAAAATGTAGGACATTTGGATTTGGATGCCTGGGCCACTTTACTTAATATATATATATAGTTAATGTATATTTACTATATTGCAGATCCCTTCCATATTATTTATATCCAGTTCTTAATGATTTATTTTGGATATGTCAGAGAAAGGTGCTTATGCTCAGCTGTCAATTTTTAAAATTTTTAAAGTTATGGAGCTGTACGTTTTTGTATATTTGCTTTCCCCCCCCTTTTTTTTTTTTTTTGTACCAGGGGTCGATCAGTACCTTTCGCTTGCCAGGCAGGTGCTTAAGCTCCTGGGCTATATCCCTGGCTTTCCACTAATTTGTTGACCACTTTTTAAGAATTTTTTAAAAATGATTCTGTAAACTCTTAACATTTTAATTCTCTAATATAGTTTTCATAAAAAAAGTAGTTTTGCAGGAAGACTCGTAGATTTCTCAGAGGGCCAGAGTACTTTATTCTCTCTTACTTGTGGCCACTGATTGTGTAAAATAGTCGGAACTTGGTGTAAGTGATCAAGTAGAAAGGAAAGGAGCCTTTCTGTAAGCTTCTCATACTCCTGTTGTGGTATTGTTCCTGTTTTACAGATGATGAAACCGTAGCTCCAGGAGCATAATTAAGATGGGAATCTTAATTATATGAAGGAGTTAAGGAGTTAAATTGTTGACAATGTCATGTGGGTTCAAGCATTTCTGTGTGGTGGGAAATGGGGAAAATCAGCTTTTTTGCTTTGGCTAGCCACTAACAGTCACTAACTACCAAGAGGTTAATTTCTTGTGCAGTGGCTCTCAAACTTGAGTGTACACCAAAATCTCATATAGAGAGTTTTAAGAACACAGGGATTTGGGCACGCTTTCAGAGTTTCTGATTAAATAGGTGGTGGTGGGACCTAAAATTTTGCATTTTTAGAAAGATTCCAGGTGACCAACACTTTGGGAATCACTGGTGTAATACATTACATAGGGGAGTTAAATTGGGGGTCTATGTAGGGACCCTGGCATTGGTGATGGGGATATAAGGATAAGGAGAGTTCTGATGTGAGTAGCATCCTGTTAGATTCTGCCTTCCCAAGTAAGTTCTGTCGGGGATCATGGCCCTTACTTCCTTAGCAGGTGCGCCTGCTGAGCTGGGAGCACACTGGTGTGAGAAAGTTGGATGTGCAGTATGAGAACGGTACTGCTCCTTAGCCTGGAGTATTTTTTTCCACTTTAAAACCTTTTGCTTTTTTTTCTCCTGTTAATTGTAATTTTTTAAAAAATTGTAATCCAGAAGAGAGTATGTATTATAAATTGAAAGGCTGACTCTTAGTAGTCCTTTCCTCAAAGACCATTGAAAGAAGTACATAACACTAGATTAGAAATACAATTTAATCTGGGGACTAGAAAGAAATCTTTAGTAGTATCTATTTTCTTCTCGTATTACAGATAAGGAAATTATTTCAATTCTTTGCTAATGGCTTGTTCTACTAAGTGACTTGGGTAACAGACTGAAAGCCAAACTTTGTTTTCTGTTATCAATTTTAATTATTTTTCCATTCTCAACGTTATCTGGACCCATTTTTTTCTTCATTTCACTAAATGGAGCTGATTAAACTATATTTTGGTCACATGAAAAAGAATAGTTGAAAATTTCTGAACAAAATTTCTATTTGAATCGAATTTACTAAAAGTGTGTTTTGTGTTTTCAAGGATTTCCTCAACATTTGTTAAATAAGAAAACAGTAAAAGTAAAAATGATTATAAGCAAGTCAGGTAAACTAAGTCTTATAGCAGATGGTCAGATAGCTCCTAGTTATTTTAAATTGCTTGCAAGATCAGGTGTAGTTAGCAGTAGAGTAGTAGTCCAGTTCATCTGAGTCTAGCATTTTCTGAGTACCTGGAAATGCACTAGTTTTTATTCAGTGGGACAGTAGTTGTTCGTAGATGAGATACCTTGTAGTAATTCGGTTTTATTTTCTCATGTGAAGTTAATTGTGATTAAGTCTCTATTGCCATTGTCTTTTGGTGATTATTCTAACCTAGGAACTCAATCATCTGCTCTTTAGGATGCAAATGTTTTACCATACTTTTATTTTGCTTACCATATCATTAGAACCTTTAAAAAAAGTAATGTATGTTTGTGTCATTTGCAGTTATGGGATAGATTGAAGAGTCGTCAATTAGCAAAGCTCTATTGTGCTTTGGCAAGCTATATTATAGTTACAAGGGTTTTTTGCCTGAGAAGTTTATGAATTGTGTGGGGATTTGAAAGTATGCATTTCGAAGCATGGATGTCTTCTTTGCCTCCTTTTTTGGTGTGGGCTTAGTGGTCTATCATTGTAGTTACTGTATTACAAGCAAAAATTTTCCTTGCCCCTATATTGTTGGTCTTCATTCACCTGGCAAATCACAAAACTGCTAAATCCGACCTGGCCAATTTGTGTTGCAACTGAGAGCCAAACACAGATGGAGAAAAATAATTTGGTTGTCAGCCTCATTTTAAGTACACAATCTCAATCTCAAAATATACGCTGGATACTGCTAACATTCTTTTAATTCCATACTATGTTTGTTCTTGGAAATTAGTATTTTAAACTTTCTTCCTTACACCTCCAAGTTAAACTCCCTTTACATCATTGTTTTAGACCTTGTCTTTATTGAGAAAATGAAATCCATCACAGGACAACTTCCTGTCCTTTCTACATCTGTACCTCTCCACTCTCTTTTCTAATATTAAATGCAAGGTTAAATCCTGTCTCTTATGTTTCAGATTGCATTTCCTCTCACCTGAAAATGTTTCTTCTACAGTTGCTTGAGCTGTTGTAACAAAATACATTCAACTAAGTAATTTATAAATAATAAAAATTTATTACAACTTTAGATTAACCACTCTGAGCTTGCTACTTGGTCTGTGCCTCAGCCATGGTATATTTGACCATCAGTTACTGTCTTCTTGAGTGGGAAGCCCAAGGTCACTCTTCCTTTGTTGAAGGCCACACTGTTGTGTACTTAGGTGGCGGAGGGGCCTTATGTAACAGAAGGTGGAAGGGCAGAAAGGGTCAGTTTGTTCCCCTATTCTTTTTTTTTTTTTTTTTTTTTTTTTTTTTGTTATAGGGTTTTGCTGTGTTGTTTGAGCTGGTCTT